ATAACAAATAAATAGATGAAGATCAGAATCATAGTTTCTCTATTTAAAAAGTCATGTTTGTCATTTTGTTAACAGGCCAACAGCATTAAAATAAGACGTGGGAAAACTACAGCCTGGGGGCTGAATGCGGGCCTTTTGGTCTTTAAATCTGGTCCGCCAAACATGTCCAAATCTGCCCTATATATATACTACTAAAAGACTCTGCAAATTGAACATTGCCTTTCTTTTGACCACAATATTAATCAACATTATTTAATTTTTTTAGTGTGTAACAAACACCTGTAAATACACATTGCCTTTCTTTTGACCACAATATTTTTGTGTTGTTTGTTTAATAGCCCACTGTCGAGGCAGTTCTCCTGCTCTACAAACAGCAGCCCTTCTTCAGTGTGTAACAATTCAAACAAAGTCATTATGGGTTCTGGCCATCAGAAAGACGACCCACTATGGGGTGATAGAAAAGGTTATATAAAACTATCTTTGAATGCACTAATGTATTTGCAACCCCGCGTCATTAGCGGCCACAGCAGTTGTAGTCCCTGCAGAGTTGGACCACATGCACACTTGTATAGGCACCGCTAATGAAATAAAAGAGCGCTGGTTGCATTTATCTCCTGTAGCATTGTGTCTGTGAGGTTAAACTTACTGTATAATATTCCCCTTAATATCAACTGTGACGTTGGGTTTGCTGTGCGGTTTAAAGCGTTAAATTATTCTGAAAGTAAAAACCATTGGCCAAAGTGTAAATCAGTCTTGTATACAGCCCTGAGAGTTGACACAACAATAAGTGTTAGTGACACAAAGATCAACAAACGCAAAAAACATTAATCACGGGGGGAGGAAAGTGGATCACATAGTAAAGGAGCAATGCATCAAAAATGTTTCGTTGCGTGTGGCTCGTTGTTTGTTTCCGAGCTTCCTTACATAGAAAATAATGAACCGTTAAATGGTTTGTTAGGTAGACAGACATGTAGGCAGACATGGTGCTAGGTGGGTAGACCAGCTGATTCACAAATAGATAGGTGTAAATGAAGGGACTGTAGGAGGTGTGTATTTAGTTATTAGTAAGTAGTAATGCAGGTAGTGCGATAGCTAGGATATTGGGCCTTAGTAGGTGGACAGGTAGCTCACTATACTAGTCAATTAGCTAAGTAGTTAGGTTCCTAAGATTGTAGGTAGGACATTTGCTCTTAGTGGTTTAGAAAGGTGGGTAGCTAACCAGCTAGGTAGGGTATTGGCACATAATTTATAAGTGGGTAGGTAAATAGTTGGGTAGGTTATTGAGAGTAAGTAGGTAACAGGTGAGCTGGATACTAAGCTAGGTGAGTATCCTGGCAGTACTGTAAGTAAGCAGGCAGAAGGAAGGAAAGAAGAACAGTCGAATGTTAGATATCACCAGAGTTCAAACGTAACAACTGTAAATCTACTTCTCTAATGCACTTTAGTACGTTTGGTGACTGGTGTCTGTACTTTGTTCAAGGTTTCACTTTACCGAATGTGTTTACTTAACTCAGTTAAGTACTTAAGTTACTTAACTACATATTTTCCACTTTAATAAATTTGCTACTTCACATTACTTTTCTCAGAGTTCGAGGAATGTGTAACTTATATACTTTTATTTTACTTTTATTAAAGAAGAGATACTTCACTCCAGTGTCACGGAGGAGACTGTGGGATCTGAAGGTGAATTACAAGTTACATGAACAAAGACTGAGCAAACGAGCAATCACAGAATTTATGCTTTTGATCGTCTTAATGGTGGGGATTATCACAAAGACGTACACACACACACACACACACACACACATTAATGTGTGAGCCCACATTAGCAGCCTGTTTCTCAGGAGTTGGCCCTTTTGTGACATTTGGAAAGGGCAAGAGGTGCATCATTTATGCACACACACACACACACACACACAGCACTGTTCGCCACATTAACAGCTACAAGCATTTGTCCCATACAAAAGCCTTATACTTGAAATGAACATCAGGAACCAGGACACATCCTACAATTGTCAAGTTTGGAAAGCACACACTCGTTCAGCCGGCTGTCATATGGAGCACTGGTGCTGCCCACACAACCACATCCTGTAGAACAAATATATGAGGGAAGGTATGAGAGTTGTTATACATTTACTGTTGCAGGCTGACATTCAGAGATGATACTTGGGGGAGTTAAAATATAATTTAAGTGTGTGTTAGTGTGCGCGCTTTAGGGATCGCATCAGAAAAGAAGAGCCCTTTAGTTGTTTTCACACATCCCTTTACCACCACACTCCCTACTCGCCCTCTTCTCTGGTGACATAAAGTGCTGTTCATCATCACATACAGTACCACAATCCAACGACACTCATTTTACCGGGGCTGTGTTTGTAACAAAGCCCAAAAATATCAATAAAAGTTCTGTATCTGATTCTGGAGTATCGCAGGTGTCTTAAATAATGATGCTTCACTGGCCACCTCATAGCAAGAGGGCACGTCCAAAGGCTTTAATAGACACTCTCTCATGTCTTTGAAATTTCCAGCTTTGGCCGAAAATTGTCAGACTTGACCGTTGCACCAGTCTGTGCCAGCAGGAACACTGGTTTCTTTGAGGCAAGACTTTAGCGGCGGACGTGATAAGAAGTAGACAGAATAAAGCTGGAGACTGTCGGCCTGGTTTGGAGCCAAGGAACATGTCAGACCTGTACAGCTCCTCCATTTGAGAGGCTCTGTCCCACGATTTCATCTGTTTCATCTTTTAACAAGGAATCTGGATGGTTCTACAGCCAGGGTGTGTTTTTCATCCAGGAAGGTTAGCAGCGTGAGCTGCAGCCAAGAGACCGGGGTCAAGATGGCAGGTTTGGGTGTTTTTATCTCATCCTGTCTGTTGGAGAGGCTGCAGCTCCTCCAGTTAGATGAGTCACTCACCGCTGTGGCAAGATTATAATGCTGTTCTCCTGCCACCTTGTGGTCACTGTCATCATAAGGCTTGTCTAACATACTTTGAGCGGCTTGTTTGGAGCACAAAAAAGCATTTTTTTTTCTTAATTTCAACCACAAAAATGGACATAGCTAAGTATTTTAAGGCAAATTGGTGCATTTTTAGTCACTTTTGAAAAACTTTTAATTTGAAGACGTTTTCAGAATATTATAAGTATTAGATAAATGTTGATTTCAAAACTAGTGCTTAGAAGAAACTCCAATAAGTTTTAACATGCTGCTCTGCTTTTAGAAACCCAATTAGATAGATGACACATGGCAGAATAAGATTACAAAGTAAATGCATTAGCAAATGTTGCCAAAGAAAACACATCTAACTTGGTGTTTATGAAAAACAATATCAAAGCATATATTTATATTACACCGTCCCTTGTTATTATAAACACTGAGGTAAACATTGTTGGTTGCATGTCATTAGAGAGCAGTTTATTTTGCACTGCAATTAGAACACTAAGCCGTTTTTTATATCAGGCAAAACAATACAAACAAAACAAGGTTTGTTTGTATTTAATAAAAATAAAACACTACAGATTAAAAAACCCTGATCAAATGTAAAACTAATGTAATGTTAAGACCTGTATTCTGACATATGTTGACGTGGCTTGACAGCAAGCAAAAACAATAATCCGATCCTGTTTTGGAGGCAGAATAATCTAGCCTTGTTGATCCATATTTCCTGCTCCTCAACTCTCCCTGATCGCTCTCCCATTCTATCTGCTATGACTAAACAGTGTAATTCATTCATAATAGATGAGGTCCAAAATTAGGTTAGCACATACTTAATCATTCATGTGGGCTCACTACTTTGAGTGACAGTGATGAATAATTCATGGGGATTTTTGGAGATGTTAATTCTTCCTCTGATCCATATGAGCATCTGAAAGTTGGATGAGATGATGTTTGTGTGTGTGTTTTCTGCTGATGTTCACTGTTTGTCATAGACTGAGAATAATTTACAAATCTTCTCCTGTGCATCAAAATATACAGTTCTTTGACAGCTTCCTGTCATTTACCACTCCTGTGTAGAGTTATGTGTATTATAAAAAGTAGGAATAGTATTTTTACATTTACGCACTTTACTATTTTTCATTTCTGTATGCAAATAGAAAACATTTCAACACATTCAATTCTAAACTAAAAGACAACGGCAGATTTCCATATAAAATATTTATAGAGAACCATATTATTTAAAATAAAAACTTTGTTTTCAACCATAAACATTGGGTTTAATCAAAAATGTATGAGCTGTTGTTGATTGTCATTAGGGTTGTATATGGAAGGAAGTAAGTTTATAGCTTTAAAACTGCATCCACTACTGCAGCTTGCATACCACAAGAACTGAATATTCCTCATTGTATTTTCATGAAAACAGTAAAACTATTCCTCATTGTATTTTCATGAAAACAATAAAACAAACAAATAAACAAATAAACAAAAACAACAAAAATATTTTCTTACAATCTACGGATTTGGGTTGATGATAATTATACAAAATATAAACGATGCAGTACCGTCAAGTGACCACTAAATGACAATGCAGTGTTATTTAATCCCTTAAAATAAACAACACCCAAATGTACATGCAGTAAATGTATCCCTTGATCTTGTTGTGTGATGATGAGCAATATGAAAACAATTACAAATGATACAATAACTATAATCTAGTGACTAATGTCATTATATAAATTATTAAGTAACGATAATTTTCACAAATCAAGCTCGGGCTTATTTATATGTTTTGAAATTACATTTTAAAAGTGGATATTGAATTACTAAGTTCCTGTTGACAGTGAGGGTTTGCTTTTTTAAATTAATATGTAATTCTGTCTATTTGTTTGTTCTTACTATACTGAAAATAAACATTAACATAATTAATATTCCAATGCTATGTTTTATTCAATATTTTAGTGTAAGTGAATTAAAATAAGAGTTATTAAGTTTACGAATGTACTTTTCCGGAGATAATTCATACGTCATGACGTTTCGACAAACGTGGTGACGTGTTCAAAGGCTTAACAATCGATATGTGAAATATCGAACTCGAAAAGGAAGCTTTTAAAGGAAAAGAAAACCAAGTATGGAGAGCAAGCGGTAGATTTTCTTCGAATTCAACCTCACAAAGTAGCGGTTTTCTAAAGAGAAGGGGATATCCCTGGGGATTGTTCTAATAGTAGATTGTTCATCTGGAACCTACCCTCAATTGATCTGGAAACGGGAACAGTGTGAGGTAAATACAGCGATGTTTAAATCCTAGGGGCTAATGCTAAACAAGAGACCGGATGGTTGTATAAACTTTTGTTGTTACAAAACATAAGCAGTTACAATTGAAGCACGATAAAGTTAGCCGTGGCTAATGCATTTCTTACTTATAATCGCTCGATAAGACGGCAATGCTAGCTTGACATTCAACCGCACGGTGATACAATCTTGAAACCAATTTGTCTTGTTAACGCCATTTCTATGAACAATTTGGGCCTTTTGGCTCTTGTATTTCTCAAGTACTTGGTTTGGAATTTGAACGATGACGACATAAAATGTCTTTTGAACTGATTTTGATGGAAGCAGCTAAGTAAAAACTCCCAAGACCTAACGATATACACTACAACGAACAAATTAAGTAACTTATAGCAAATCACCATGTCAATTTTATCTCCACGTTTATATATATATATATATAGTGTTGAGAAAGGATGAGTAACCTAAAATAATGACAACCATATTGTCGTTCACATTTTCTTTCTAAACAAGAGAGAGGGTATCTACACTAGTTTCCCTTTATCTGTATTATATGGATCAAATTTAGTATTTGCTGTTCTAAACAGGTGGCTTAATCCTTCTCTCTCACCTGCAGGATGTGATATTGACACAGTTGAGTTTGACTGTTACTTTAGTCCAGTTCTACTGCATTAATTTTATTTAAATCCTTTCCTATAAATCAAACATCCCTAAATGATCATGTAATTACAGTAGGCCTGCAGCTGTTAGGTTGTGTGGGTGTATATATTTTAAGGTTTACTACTTAACATTTATTTAATTTCCTGATTGTGGCTTGGAATGTATTTTCCCTTCGTTTTAAAAGAGGTACTTGTGGTGGAGAAATTAATCCCATATACAAGCCCATTATTTAAATTGTAAAAATATGTCAAAATAAATTTGGGTGATTATTTTTGTGGTTTGTTTTCTAGGATGGATCCTGCTCTACTGAGGGAGAGAGAGCTGTTCAAGAAAAGAGCTCTCTCTACTCCTGCTGTAGAGAAAAGAAAGACAACATCTGAATCTGCATCACACAAGAAGAAAAAGACCAAAGGTGACAAAGAGAGCTCCTCAGGATCCAGACACAGCACCGGTAGGTCAAGCTGCTTCTGTTTAAAACACTGATTTATTGATTTTTCGAACACTGAGTCTATGTCATTATAATATTGTTTGATGTTTGGATTTTAATTAACTGGCGTTGGATGTTGGTTTATGTCAGTGTTTTCATTGGAGAGTGTTCATTTTTACGTCGTGAGAACTTGTGTGTGTCAATGCTTCTATGTGCAGTATGTGAAGTTGTTTGTTTTTTTCCTGGTAGAGACCTCATGGAATGTGTATTTTGCTGCATATAAATTCATCAGACTGCGCAATTTCCTGCCTGTCAGGTTTCCATTTCTATCCTCTTGATCTGATCACCTCAGTGGTAAAACCTCTGGTTGCTTTGTTTTTGTCCTCAGTAACAAAAAAAGAAAGCCACACAATTTTGGCAAGTTTATTTAAACATTTTTTTTCACTAAAGCTTTTGAAACACAATTTTGGCAAGTTTATTTAAACATGTTTTTTCACTAAAGCTGTGCTTGTACGTGGTTCTAACAAAGCAGAAAAGTACAACACTGTGCAGCAAAGTAGTGTCATCTAAGGTCATCATCACATTGTGTTACACATTTACAACAGAGGCACACAGTTTACTGAACAGAAAACCAAAAAGCATTGAAATCATTTAGCAACAGTGTGAAGATAAACAACTGAACCACATCAGTCACTGTGCTGTTGAATTGGTCCATTTGGGAAAATAAAAAATATATAATTTACTTTTACATTTTTAATGAATGTATTTTCTATTTACAGAAGGTAGAGACAAGGGGCTGTGATTCCTCAGTGAATCCAGTTCTTTGTTCCCTATTTTGCTAGAGCAAAATAAGTAGAACATTTTAAGTTGTGTGAGCATTGGTTTCTCTGCCCAAATATTATTTTCTTTGGGTGTGAAAAATGATGCACAATGAGGACAACTGAAGTGAAACAGACTTTACTATTGATATAATATATAAATATATTAATTAAAACAAACATTTTCATTTTATTTCTTTATTCCTTCTGCTGTCTTAAATTGTACTGAATGCAGATGTATACCATTTTCTAAATAGTAATTAGCCTCGCATCTAAGCAGTAAAAATTTAAATTCACATTGTACTGCTGTGTTTCCTACTTCTGCATCCATTTGTTTGTGTACTCAGATAATACAGATATTTGAAAACCATCTGGTAGTTTTTTTCAAGATCATCGTTTTGGTGAAACAGATGTCAACATTATTGTAATCATCCTTCATGGATGTTATTCTGTCTTCAGAGAAGGTGTGGATACACAGGACGGTGATACTGAAGACTGAATCCAATTCTTTTTATACCTTATTTTGGTACAGCTGCGAGATAAGACTTAGGATTTAACTTCCGTGGAACTCATGCTCTTCCGTCTCTGTCTCCGCTGCTTTTACACGATCTCACTGTGAGATTCTGGTTCTTTGCAAATTCTGGTCAGGATGTTGCCGCAGCCTTCAGGCTTCTTCTCTTCCTTCTCCTCCTCCTCGTCTTCTGGCTGCATCACCACCTCAACCTCCTCCTTCTTCTCCTTCTCCTTCTCCTCCTCCTCTTCTTCTTCATCCTCCCGCAGTATGACTTGTTGGGTCATCCTGTTGACGCAGCAGCGGCAGTTCACTTGATCGTAGAGCAATGCCAAGATGACCAGAGAAATAACAGTGAGGATGAAGAGCAGAAGGATGACGAAGCACGCCACATTCCAGCCGTCATGGAACGGGTAGATTTCCTGCACCTGGAAGGAGACTTGGGAAAGAGAGGCCATCTCCTGGTGCCATGGTAGATTAGTCGATTTTGTGGCGTCGGTGTTGTTGTCCATGACTGCAGCTGCTTGAAGAGAAAAACAGGCGTGAACACGTGGTGAAGTGAAAAAGACAACCATATTTTCTGGACTATAAGTCACACTTTCTTTCACACTTTGCGACTTATACTCAGGTGCGACTTATATATTAAAAAATATTTGTTTTTTCACACTAACAGCCGCTAGAGGGCACTCTAGGCTTGTGTACCAGTCTGGAAAATACTGTAATCTTTGTAATTTTTGAAAAATAATAGATACATAGAAACTACAATTGGTCCATTATGTTACATTGAATTTCTACAAAAATGAATTTAGTGTTGTGTAAATTTTTGTCCACTTTCACGTTGATGCAGTTGGTTTAGTGCTCCCTACAGACACAGGAAGTCGAAGAAGCCATATCCTGTCTGAAGATCATGTTGCTTGTGTTGCAGTAATGCAATCATTACCTTAGTACTCTCATGTAATTGCATTACTTGCATTCAGAGCTGGTCACTGTGGTTGTAGTGAGGTCGTTTTGGTTGTGCCTGGTTGGATTGTTTTTAACAAAGCAATTCTGTGCTTCTTTCTGTTTGTTTGATATTCCTGAAACACCTTATTGTTGTCAGTACATACTGAGGACGTCTGTTTAGAGCAGAGGAAGTGTCTGTCTAGTCAGTTGTTTTCTTCAGTGGACAGTAAAGATGATGTGGCGCTATGACTCACTAAGAAAAGAGAACACTGTTTCACTGTTGTTTCTCTTCCATGATGCTCTCGCTCTCACCTGCATATAGACGCACAGACTGTCACACAGACTGATGACTGTTTACCTACTGAGGTCGAGGCTGACCCAGAACTCAGGTAGCTGAGAATAAGAGATAGAGGTGCACAAATGTAATTACTTAACACGTCTTTTAGACATGAACCTTAGATAGATGAGTTCTTTCTATTGACGGATGAAAGTATTGTACATAACCATGATGTGCTGCATCTTCATGCAGGATTTCTATTTTGGGTTCACTTGGAGAGCCAGTTGTAGACACAGGTGTTCTTTATGCTGTGTATTTTCTATGTAACCATAAAAAAATGATATTTGATCAACAACCTGTTATTGTGTAAGACGTTTGTTGATTTGTCATGTCAGGCTAGGCTCAGATGGCTTTATCAGCAATTTAAAACCTGTAGAGTTCTGTTAAAAAAATCACCAAACTAATGCATAGATTTGATTGGTTGATCAGAACTAATCAAAATTGTATTTTATTTTTACCAGTTTGGCATTTAAATTTGTCATATTTTACTAGGCCTAATTAACCTTTTAAACAATGAGTGACACCAGCCACACCCTGAATGGCTCTTCATCAGATTTGGCTGGATTACATCTTGTCCTGAAGCTACACAGGCTGCTACACACAAGCACCACTCATGCATGGCTAATGCCTTTAATTTGTTCCACAGTGCTCTCAGTGATCTACCCTGGGAGCTGCCGTTCACGCATTGCCATTAAAAGACCAACATGATGCTCATGAGCATGCAGACAGAGATGGTGTCGGAGTTTAAACCACAGACACAGCTTTTTTATATTCCACTACATGTCGCCTCGTTCCTGGTCCGAAATATGAGACTTCATGTTTACTGTGGATCTGCTGCAAATGTGAATTTAAAAAATGTACAATTGACTCAGTAATTAATTACACTGTGACAACACCCCCCCCCCGCAGTCATTTCAGCAGAGTGAGAGAAAAACAGTCGCAGCTTACAGTCACAGATTGGATTGTTGTGATCACATGCTGGCGTCATTTAGAGGATGCTTTTTTTTTTTTAATGAAACATTCTGCAGACTCACCTACGTACGTGTGGAATCAGTGTTTAAAAGATGCAGATCCTCAGCCTCCTCTTGCAGCCTCCACCTTTTTAGCACTGTCTTCCACTCTCTTCCTCCCCCGCCTCTACTCCTCGACCTGTTTTCCTCTTTCTGGTGTTCCTGCAGCCGTCACCCACACACTCCCACACTCAGCACCACCGCTCCTCGCTGCTCTTCATGTCTCTGCCGTGCAGCATGGGCGTCGCTCCATCATCCAGTGTTTGCTGGTAGCCCTGCCTCTGCACCGCTCCGTAGCCCGCTCGTCACAGTTTTGGTGTCCGGCCCACCGGCGGCTCACAGCAACAGAAGCCCCCACCCACGCAATGAATCATTCATGATTTAGTGTCTGTTTTCAGCTGTGATTGGTGAGCATGGAGTCCAGACCTCAGACAGACCCCTCGGGTGTGTGTGTGTGTGTGTGTGTGTGGGGGGGGGGGGGGTTATTAAACACCCAACACAGATGGAACAGCTGTCAGACCCTGAAAGCTAAAATACAGCTCATCAAAATCACCTGTGTTTTAGTCCAATGAACAAGGTGTGGAAGACAAATAAATAGTTTTTAATGGTTTGATAATCCAATCCAAGTTTTCACAAATATATGTATTTTTATGGAAGTCACAATTACACCATCATGTGAATCCTGTTAGATTTGTTTTCAATTCATGCACTCATTTTCATCCAGTGAATGACGTTTCTGACGTTTCTAATTCTAGTCCTCCCCTTTTTTTTCCATCTCCATTTTATTTTTAAGTCACCTTTGATTATTTACCCAGAATCCTGCTTTCCTTTTCCTTCAGAGTCGACTAATGGCAGCTTCAACATCAAGACAAGCTCCGGGTATAAATTCGGCTGCTTGGCAAAGATAGTCAATTATATGAAGGTAAGATTTTTAAGCACTGCTATGACACGCAACTGTAGTATTGTTGTCATTGTCATAGTAATATTTATCTATAATACTAAGTGCGTGCTTTATGGGATTGTCAATGTGTCCATTTTTCTCAATACAGTTTAACATGCGTGCTTTATGGGATTGTCAATGTGTTCATTTTTCTCAATACAGTCAACAATATTTTTACAGTTTTCTTCCAGCACCCACTTATGCGTGTTGACAGTATGTTCCAGCACCCACTTATGCGTGTTGACAACCAAACTAATTTGGTTTTCAATAGGATCTTATTTAGAACTTATTCTGCTGTACGTGTACTGCCAAGAGAATTTGTGTCAGCATTTAAAATCCTTGAAATCTGACACTTTCCACAGACAGTATCTTTGTGCGTCTTTAGCCTCCAGGGTTTATTTAATCATTGACAATGGCTAATTACGTAGTTGTCACCATCAAAGCTGTGAAACAACCTTCCTTTTATTGTCACCACTGTCACGTGACTCCCTCTGGTATGAAAACTGACGGTTGGTCATGCTGCGGCGCTGCTGATGCAGCCGTGCCCCGTCACAGTTTGACTCATCCCTCGCTGCAGGACACGCTGTCAACTTGACAGATTCTCTTTGAATGTGCGCCTTGTTGTGCCATCTGTGAAACAGTTGGAAACACTGTTCTCAACAATCACAGTTTGGAGGCTTAATAAAAAAACTCATGAGTGGAATATTTAAGAGTTGGTTAGAAAGACTCCCATCAGGGAGTAGAGTTGTTTGGGATTGTCCTAGAAATCTGTTTCTTCCTCTGGATCTTAGACCAGGCATCAAAACGGGGACACACACTTCCTAACCATTGATGAGATCCTGGACGAGACCAAGCTTCTTGACATCGGCATTAAACAGAAACAGTGGCTCATCACTGAGGTGTGTTGGCGTTTCTGCAGCAACACACACACAGTTGTCATCACCTCTTCGGTTTGATTTTTAACTTTCTCACATGTCGAATATCAGGCGCTGGTTAACAATCCAAAAATCGAGGTACGGGATGCAACATACGGCTTTAAGCCCAAGTACAACTTGAAGGACAAGAAAGCCTTACTGAGGCTGCTGGACAAACATGACCAACTGGGTCTGGGAGGAGTGCTGCTGGACGACGTGGAGGAGGGGCTGCCAAACTCCGCCAAGGCCATTAAGGTAAAGCAAGGACTCGTGACTACTGTGTTGTGTTTAATATATGTCAAGTAACGTCAGGATGACACCGTCCTAACAGTGTAGTAGCTAAAATAAGACCCATGTTGCAGGCGTTGGGAGATCAGATCATCTTTGTGACCAGACCAGATAAGAAGAAGATTCTCTTCTACAATGACAAGCACTGCCAGTTTGCAGTAGATGAAGGTATGAACTGCTGTTGTCTAGATACCAATTTGTACAAACTGATACAAGTATTTTCAGTCATGTTGTCGCTGATGCCAAGTATCGGTACCCAAACTGAAGGTTGGCTTTAAAAAATATGCAATAAACTAGAAGGCAGTGTTCTGTGGGTAGTAGGGTGAGTGGAGAGTATTGGTTGGAGTTTGAATATAAATGTATATTCTTAAACACACAGAATTCCAGAAACTGTGGAGGAGTGTTCCAGTCGACTCCATAGATGATGAAAAGATCGAGGAGTACCTGAAGAAGCAGGGCATCAGTTCAATGCAGGAAACGGGACCAAAGAAAGTAGTCAGTATCTCCTCTACTCAGTACATTTTATTTCTAATGTATAAACTCTGGCAGCTTTATATTTATCTATCCACTTCATGGATCATAGCAAAAACTAATTACACCTGTGCGTTCTGTAGTTACATGTTCAAAAGAAGAAGAAGCAAGGTGGGCAGAGGAAGAGACAACTCGTCCACAACAACCATTTGGCCGGAGTGCTGGAGGATTATACAGATGGTGTTCCTGGGAAAAAATGAATTCCCCGACCACGGTGCCGAATACGTACAGCACAGCCGATAGTCTGTAGCTCAGATGACAGCGGGGACTCTGCCCTTAGATTCCTTTTCCATGATTGTGTTATTTCAAAAACACTTTTTTTTCCCTTTTCTCTGCAATCCTCCGTCATCAATGGCAGTGTTTTACTGACGAGTGTTTACCACCTACGATGTGAATTTCTTTTTAGACTCTGTCCATTTATGAGGAGGTGCTGCTACCTTACAGTTAACATGTAAATGAGTAAATGGTGTAAATACTTTCTTTTCCTTTGTATTTAATATCACAGATACAGAGTGTGTGTGTGTGTTTGGGAGGTTGGACATTTACGGATCACAAGCTGAGGACAACTTCCTCATGGATGAGGGATATTTGAGTTGTGACCTCTGACCTGCTGTGTGTTACGCTGATCCCTCAACAAGCCTGGAACTCTTTCACTATAAAATGAACTTAAATGTTTATTTTAATTCAATTCATTTGCAGGCTGGTTAGAAATACAAGAACTTTGAGAAAATGTTTTAATAAACAACCCTGTTACACCAAATATGTGCCAATGCTCTACAGAACTAGCACCGTGTGACACTTGACTCAGTAACAGAAATAAAGCAGATCCACCATTGCTTGATCTTATGCACCACTGCCAGAAAGCTGCAGTCTTTAGTTATTCACTTCGCATTTGACACTTACACGACAACAATGAGGTAAAAAATAAATTATTAATTTATTCAGCAGTCTTACTGGTTAGTTTTGAATGGTTAAAAGATGCATCCACCAGAAAACTGTTAATCTAGATCAGAGTCACCTGAAGATGATTTTATTTTATTTTTTTATTGCAACAATGTGTGTTGTCCAACATTGTTGTTAACAGGCGTAAAATAAGGTGTAAAAAGGAAAAGAAAAAAATGTTCAATTTATATGTTATTAGGAAGTAGGAAACAGAACATTAGCAAAGATGAAGAAAAACGCTCCATCATTAGAAAATGTTTAGAAAAGTTACTGGTGAAGCCTTACACAATATATTCTATATACACACAAGTCTTTTTCTATCAGCAAGCTCCAAGATCATGTGTTTTTCTTTATTAAATATTGTCATCAAACAGTGAAACTACAGTATGTAGTGTTAGCTTGTAGTGTGGCCTGCTTTCACTGTTTTCTTTAAGTGGTGGTAGTTTGGCAGAATCTTCATCAGAAAGTCGAGCTGAAGAGTCTGTGGCTGTGAAGACAACAGCAAAAATGTTATCAATGTCTACCCGGAACAGTTACTAATGTCAGGCTGCTGTGCCAGTGTGTTTCCATACCTGTGGTCTCTCTGTCTGAATGCGTCTCATGCAGCCTGAGCCATAAATGACTGTGTTTTCAGGTATAACCTCAAACGTGTTGACCTGACAGAAGGCTCCGATGATACAGCCGCTGGTCAGGATTACATTACGACCGACGTCCGCTGGAATAAAAACGGAAAACACAGTTTGAAATCAGAGTCACCAACGCAATCCCCTCAAAAAGCTATCAACACAGACCCCTACTATGACACACATATCCTACCTTTGGATTCTATCACATTGTTGTCCCCAATTTTCAGGGCCTGTGAGACTGTTAGCTTTTGTGTAAAGGCAGATAATGTAAAAATAGAAAAAGACATCAGAAAAAATACAAGAACATGTGATTCTTCATGTTTCTGTGGCACCTTTGAAAAGTAAGCACAAAAATTAGTTATAGGTTCAAAGTTATAACTTCCATTCGAGGAGTTTGTGTTTAAAAGTGCTTAAGATTCCACTATCTAAATGAACATTACCAATACTTTTGATACAATTATATTTTCTTTGTAGGTAATTATTTTACCTTCCATTGTATTTCCACTGTCTATTCAGAACAACCAAAGTAAGGTTAGCATAATTAATAAAGCTGGTTTTGGGCTAACTAGGATATTTGTTGAAAGGATACCACATCCCACTTCAAATACATTGTTGACGCCGATGGTCATCGTCTTTGGTTCTACCTCAGACTCTGGTGTGATGTTTTCTGGGTAACTGCAGAGAGAAAGGCACGTGTAGATACAGATTGGACAGTGTTTGATGCACAAATAAAGAAAGTACCTACTGTGTAATGTGAAGACAACTTACCTGTTAATGATAACTGCTTGTTCCTCAATCAAATTACCCTCTCCAATCACTATGGGTCCTGCCTCTGCAATTATACGAGCTTTTGGATGGACCACAGTCCTGGGGCCTGAGGGAGCGGCACCGTTTTTTTTACGTCGTTAACTAATTTGGAAAATATTCCGATCCGCTTTAACAGAAAGTACAAAGTAAAGCATCTTACCGATGGTGACATCTCCTCTGATTTCACTTTCAACACAAACTACGGCTCCGGCCGCTATTTTGACACTGTAAACAAGACAAATGCAAAGAGCCGTTAGCTTACCGACCTAGGTGCTTCCATTAGCCATCTGAACATGCTACACAATGACTTTTTGCTCTTGTTTCTTCATATATTGACACAATCGAATAGTCCATATAAACACAACCTATTGACATTTAAAGTTGACATCACCTTTTCTGTGCATTCTGTTTATCTGCCATTGTCATAAACGTTTCCGGTGTGGCACCAGCGATTATCTCTGGCATTGATTTGATGGCCTTGCTTAAAAACTGCGCAAGCGCATTGTCAATTTCAATCACGTCATCAATTGGCATGTGAAATATAAATAACGTATTCTGATGGTGATGGCTTATTCATTTTATACACAAAAGCTTTTTTTTTCATAAACAATATCATGTGGTATTTGTTATTAAGTATTGATCAACATTGGACATCTGTATATGTCCATCTGGCAAATAAATGTAGAGAATATTCCCGAGTCTACGAGTTAATAATCGTATTTAAACATTTCACATTAAATACATATACAGTTAATTTAAATGCAATCGTTGTGTCTCTAAGCTTGTTTCGTTAATATAGTCGATTGTAAACAAACTTCCGAATGTTAATAACGCGACTACCTTTAACGCAAGGACCAGGTAAGTCTTATTATGTATTTTGTCCCTTTTCGCTTCCACTACAATGCCAAAACAACGAAAGGTCGGAAACAGAAAAAAATATAGCAAAGAGGAAACTTTGGGAAACCATAAATCCCCATGTCCAATAGTGGTGAAGCAGGAAAGACCAGATGAAATGAAACAAACAGGGAATTTTGTGTTTTTCTTTGCTGCTATTGCTCTGGTTTTCGGTGTCTGTGTAACTCCACTGACAGCTGACATGACTTACTGTAAGTAAACATCTGCTCCTGCTGACAATTGAAAACCATCTTTAAAGCCTTTTAAGCTAGTTACTTAGCAACATTTAGCTGGACACCTTTACTTCAAGTCTTATTCATTCAAAATGTCAATTTGGATTAAAATACAATACTGAAAAAGCGCTTACCATACAGAATCACGATGCAATTTCTGTGAATATAGTTTTATCAGACGTGCTAGCCCGAAGCTAACAAGTCTGATAGATCAGATCACTCTTGAGATACAGACTGAATATTACCGATTTGAACTTCCCTCCGGGGGCTTTTTTTCACAGATTATATTAGCATGTGACCATGAGGCTGTGCAGCCTTAACTCCAGCCCTCTCACATGCTTTTATATGCAGAATAGAGCTGAGAGCTAGCAGACTGCAGCCCGCAGTGAGGCTACTGCGGTGTTTTAGTCGGTGTTTGTTCTTTCTTTATTCTTTAGTGTGTGCCATAGTTTTCTTAATTACTGTCAAGCTATTTGGAGGGTCATCACAGGGTGTGGCCATCTACTACAGCTCCATCATCTTCTGCGCATAGTTGTCATTAGTACAACAAACGGATTTTGACAGATCTGTGGCGTTCACCAGTGTCTTTCATTGCAGCTGGTCTTACTCCTGAGAAACACTCTGCCTTGAAGATGGACGAAGCATTACTTACAGTCAACAATGAGCTTGTTACTGATGTGGTGGTTTCCTGGAGGTCTGAGCGTTGCTACCAGGTGGGCTCATACTGCAAATGCGTCCCCTCTGTTGGTTCTGTAGAACTAAGGCTCGATTCACTTGAGTAGGACGTAGGTGTGGTAGTGATCTGGATCCTTGTGTCTCTTCCAGTGTTTGTACCAGCAGCTCGGTGTGGTACCGGCAGCATCCAGTCCTGGAGAGCTCGGTTCACTTGACTTTGTTGTGAGCACAGAGCATGAAATCACACTACAACTCAACAGTACTGTGAACCTGGGGCTATGCAGGTCGGTTCAATGACATGGAAATGCAAATTACTCTATAAACAAAACATATATGTTTCTAAATATACTATGACATATTATTACCCTCTAATCTTATTATGTACTTGAGTAATACTTTGTTCTGGGATAATAGACAGTAAGTCTAACCAAGTAACACCTGGTTATCGCTGACGCTTGTTGCCATTCAGTGCTTCAGTGCTGTGGTTTCGTAGGTCTTCCCCCAACAACTTCTTTTATATTTATTATGTTTTCAGAAATAAAGAAATATGTGGGAATCTTTAATCATTATGTCTCAAACAATTCAAATTACAACTTACTCAAATGTTTCTTTGTCACCATACACCACAGATAATCAGTTATAACAACTCCATTAAACCTAAATGACATATAGGAGAAAATTGTATTATTTGAATTCATACATGATTTGTGCAATTTTTCCAATAGGCTGTGAATTATTGAAGTATAAACATTTCAATTTTGATTTCCTTTTAGTGTGTATGGTCGTGATTATTGTTTTTAAATTTAATGTTTTTCATTGGCAGTGTTCCGTTCCACTTTGGGGAGCAGGGAAACTATTCTCTGTGGGTAAAAAATCTGAATGATTCCTCCGTGGTCAGTTGCTCTGTAGTGACGGATACAGAACCCATCAACAGTTACATGCGTGAGTCAAAAGGAAAATTTATTTCCCAGATTTTGCCACATGAACATTTTTATATGTTACATTATATGCTTTCAGTAGTTCTTATGGTATTGAATATATTCTTGTTCCACCCACGTTAGCGATACTGGTTGCTTTCTTCATCTTTGCTGGAGTATTCTTGGTTACGGCCCTTTGGAGAATAATATGGAAGTAGGTTCAGGATATTCTCTTTTTCAAATCATAATAAGAGAGATTTAGATGTTTCTAAACCTTAGAAATATTTCTAACCTTGCTATATATGATCTGTCCAGGCTTGATGTAGTAAAGCACCTCCTTTTCCGAATGACAGGCTCCATGGTGACAGAAAGGCTCATCAACTCGGTAAGTGTAGATTTAAACAAAATTGTGCTTTTCTATTGGCATTATTTAATGTAATACACAAATCACTTTTCTGTGTGGAACTTATCAGTAATGTTGACATACTGTATGTAATCAATCATTTTAAATAACATTCCTAAACAAATTAGTTGCGCATTGGTTCTGCATGTCATGACTCTGTATTTTACCTTTGACATGTGCAATGACAATAATGTTTAATCTAGTCTAAATAATGTGCATAATCTGAAGAGGTTTGCACAAAGAACATTTGTGAATGGCGTTTCCATGACTTCAGCATCATAAGACTGTTTATAGACTGCTTTTGTCATTGCCAGACTGTCCGGATTTTCTTTTGTACTGATTTGTATTTGTTTTGAATAGAAAACTGTAAATGTTAAACTTTACTCTCACCGTCCAGGAACTGGGCTCCCCCGGCAGGACAATGCCAGTTACAGACAACATCATTCCTCCGACCCAAGGCCACAACCAGAGGCTGCGATCGCTGGACACGTTCAGAGGGTAACTTCACATGCAGCGCAACTTATGCAGTGAAAGAGTGCAATTTAATGCAATAAGCTTTTTGTGAGCTATGATTAGACCGTGTCAATGGATCATAACTGGTGTCACAATGGGGCAGCTGACGACAAAGAGCATGGAATTATCTTCAGTCCTGGTCGTCTCGCAGCTTTTTCTCTTTGACAGAATTATTTTTCTTTAACCTTTTTTCTCTCTCTTATTGCTGAATAGTTTTTGGTCATTTTACTTTTCTCTGTGCCCTGTTAGTATTTCCTTGGTCATAATGGTATTCGTGAACTACGGAGGAGGGCGATACTGGTTCTTTAGACATGCAAGTTGGAACGGTGAGATGCAGCCTGTTTATTGGTTTATTTATTCCATAACAAAATATGTGTTACTGCTGCTCTCTGAGTTTTACTGTCACTCACCAAACACATAGACTGCAACTTAGAGACAGCAGCAAAAGGCCGTTGTACTATAAACTGAAGGCTGTGTGTTTCCCTTGTCTCCCCCAAGGTCTGACTGTGGCGGATCTGGTATTCCCATGGTAAATAACAGACTCATTTTTCATTATCACATTTTTTTACAAGTGACTTTCTTTCCAGTGATTTCATGCTACAATTGTGTTTTTTTCTGGTATGTGGTTAAAGTATTGTTAATAATAATATTACTGCTAATAATAATAATAATAATCTTATTTTTTTTCTAAAGGATTAAACTTTATTGATAGACTTTATTTTAATACTTACTACTACTACTACTACTACTACTTAAAACCTTTACAGTAAATAAGGGAAAACAGTGTGATTAAATTCTCCCATTTATTTCATCTTGCATCTTGAATTGCATCTTGGAGGTGGCTTGTAGAATACGTTGAGTGTTGCTTTTAAAACTTCGGTGAAGCCGTCGTCCTCAAGCATTAATCAGTTTACATTCCCGAGCAACAAGTAACAAAACTCTTCCCTGCAGTGTGTACAAATAACAACATGTGCATGACTGTGTGTTAGAACAAAAAGTGGATGGACGATAGAATTATTGGATATTCACTACGTGTCGTGAAATGATTTTGATCAGATTTATCTTCACAAATCATTGCAACTAATGTATTATTATGGATACTGTCTGAGTTCTTTACTTATTTTTGCCTTTTTTTCCTCCAGGTTTGTGTTCATAATGGGGACGTCCATTGCACTTTCAGTAAACTCCCTGCTGTGTGCAGGCAAAACTCGCCGCTCACTGCTGGGGAAAGTTGTGTGGAGAAGTGTTCAACTCTTCCTCATCGGTGTCTTTGTTATTGGTCCACACTACTGCAATGGACCATGTGAGTACAAACACACTTACTACTGTATGTGTACTCCTGCCTGCCTGTGTTCTTATCCTCTTTATCTACACACAGTGGACTGGAACAACCTGCGGATCCCAGGTGTTCTTCAGCGCCTCGCCTGGTCCTACCTGGTTGTAGCCTGCTTGGACATAATGGTGGCAAAAGGTCATGTTAACGTCCTCACAACGGTCAGCCCTCTATCATTCACATGCGTTTGAAATACAATAACTCATAATACATAAATATTACTAATTAATAATACCAACCACATTGAGCCAAAACATTTATGGCTTTGTTTATACAAGAAAAATGAAATCTTGAAAATGAAAGTTTTTCTAGTTTGAGCAAATGCTTCTTTAAAATGACTTTGTTCAAATGTCTGTTGACAACATGTTTCAACAGAGAGCTGACGACCGTTTGATTGATAGTGTTGTCTTTTTTCTAGGGGGCTTGGTGGTCCTCTTTCCTTGACATTTTGCTGTACTGGCCAGCTTGGATCTGCATTATCGTTTTAGAAGTTATCTGGCTTTACCTCACGTTTCAACTGCCTGTGCCTGATTGTCCCACGTAAGTAAAGAACGGATGAAAAAAATGCAGAATTGTAACAGAAATTGCAGCTTTTGTCCTGATTCTACCGTATTTCACCGGTGAACAGAGGCTACCTGGGCCCAGGTGGACTTGGGGACATGGGGCTGTACTCCAACTGCACTGCAGGAGCGGCTGGTTTTATTGACCGTTGGCTGCTGGGAGAAAACCACATCTACCATAACCCTTCATCGAGGGTCAGTGAGCAACAAAACACCACACACATACGTACAGTGAACATATTTGGTCATAGGTTCAGGTTTTTAAACTAAAAAATATTTTTGGTTTTGTTCATGAAGGTGGTTTATGCAACACACGTGCCATTTGACCCTGAAGGTATTCTCGGCAGCATCAACTCCATCCTGATGGCTTTTCTAGGATTACAGGTTGGTGTTGTAGTTTTTTGTGTCTTGCTTTTTTATTATTACATCACACAACAGTGGTAATCAGTGTTGTGTATTTTTTTTAAATATTTTTATTTTAATCTTCTACAGGCAGGAAAAATAATTCTACACCACAGAGAATCCCACAGTAGTATGCTGTCCAGGTTTCTTATCTGGGGTCTGTTTTTGGTGAGCACATTGGTTCGTGGTACTACACTGAGTACATGTGATCACATCGTGTTACGGATACTTTAGTGTCTGAGTTTGGATGTTGTTGGACTTCTTCTTTTTGTGACACACAGGGAGCCGTATCAGCAGTTCTGACCAAATGTTCCACAGACCACGGCTTCATTCCTGTCAACAAGAACCTGTGGTAATGTTTTTGCTGTGATACATGATGTATTTGGATCAAGGCTCAGTTAGCAAAGTACACGCATGTGACCGAATACTGAAGTGAATTATAAAAGAGCTCAAAATGTTTCTTAGTTATTGGACACACTCGCGTACGCACAGTTCAAAAGGTCATTCAGGAGACAGCATACCATTGAGTGTGTCTTCAAGTTAGCTGCTCAATTATCACTTGTTGTAATTTTTCTTTTTAACAATGGTCGACTTTGAAAGAATTATGAGAAAACAAACGAATGCATTATTTTTTTTAAAAAAAAGTTAGGAATTACGTCATGTACTTCATTTCTAGGTCTCTGTCCTATGTGACCACACTGGCCTGTTTCGCCTTTGTGCTGCTGACGCTGCTCTTCTACATAGTGGACGTGAAGGCGTGGTGGTCTGGAGCTCCTTTCTTCTATCCTGGTGAGATACTGTATATTATCATGGTTTAGAGGAAAACGTTTAAGACCTTTAACTTGAGCTCACGTCCGTGTGTGTGTGTTTTTTCTAGGTACAAACTCCATCCTTGTGTATGTGGGTCACGAGGTGTTTGAGGACTACTTCCCCTTTCGTTGGCACATGACGAACAACCAGTCTCATGCTGAACACCTCACCCAGAATCTAGTTGCCACTTCCTGTTGGGTGTTGATTTCATACGTTCTCTACAGAAAGAAGATATTTTGGAAAATTTAGAAACAGGTTAAGAGTCAAAGTGTGATTGTCATTGTTCTTTAAACACACAAGAGGTCAATACTTTTATTTTTAAGTATAACATATTTTTTAAGATCTGTACACGGCATCTCTGGTAGCTTTTTAAACAGGCTCTGGGAGAACTACTTTTGAGAAACTGAAAACTTTGTTATTCTACAGTGGGACATGTCACAGCTACAGGTTTCATTTCCCAGTCTGTGTTTCCACTAGTGGTTAAAAACATTTGCTAACTTCTTCTTTTATTGCTGCAGTTTCTTTAGTAGTACTCCTAAATAAGATCACCACTGCACAGCTGATGACTACTTGTGAAACTTGTTTGGTTCCTGAATTTCTTTTAATACTTCATTTGGCTTTTAATGAGGCCCAGAAGCAAGCTGCCCCAATGCAGGTTTTTGTTTGTGTGCCATATTTTTACTTATGTTATTTTTACAGGATACCTGTGTACTGTATTGTGTATAAAATATCACTGTCCTTAAATTAGTTGTCATTCTAACAGCAGCAAAGCCTCAAATGAATGCCACTGTGACTGTTAAGTCATAAATTCAACACTAATTTACACAAAGGTTATGGTTGACTTGGATGTCTGTCCTTTGTTGTAAAATTGTATCCTCAACCATCCACTGATTGTATTTCATTTCATGTTTTACCTTTGTCAAAAAGTAATTATTTTTTCTAGTTAACAAGAATGCCTCCAAAGATGCTGCTGAAAGTGATTGTGATAATTTGGTAGTTAATGCTGGATTTGTGTACTTTTATACAACATAAAACCACAGTCGCAATCTGTAAATTTACACTGTAAAATAAAAGATATTTCAAAAGTACCGCTGCCGTGTGACTTCGAATGCAACCTGCGTTGAAACGTTGCTTTAATGAGATCACGGGCTGCAGTTTGTTTTTTATCAGAATGATTTTGTTTCTCATGTCGTGTGATTAATTTATGACTCCATAGTTCCCACTGCTGTGAGTTTGACGGTATGCTAGATTATTATCGAGCTCTGTTTTTCTGTCTCTGCACCGCAGAGAGGTGCAGTTTGCTTTATTGCTCAATAAGGCGTGGGAATCGGGTTACGGTGTGGTTGCCTTGTGAAAGTTGCGAGGCTGCTCCTTCATCTCGCGATACAAACTGACTACCTGCACTCATGTCAGTTGTGAGAGTTTTTCTGTTCTCGCGCGATCTGGTAACTTTCCCACGCCTGTTGTTTTGGCGTCTGCCCTCTGGCCGCCGTCCCTCCCTCTCCCTCCTTCCTCCCCTTCCCACCGCGGTGCCCGGTCACACCTCCCCCTCTTTTTCTCCCTTTTTCCTTCCAGTCTGCTTCTTCTGTTGTGCCGTTGGCTTTGCAGTGGGGCTGTGGGAGGGATCTCGCGATTGTTGGACTTTTTTTTCGTAGAGGGGGTGAGTAATTCGGAAGATGGCGCCCGTTGTTACGGGGTAAGTGGCCAAAATTCAAAGCATAATTTTGATTAGTTTTACTTCCTTGCCGTCTCTCGCTGCGTGTTTTCACCAGCTCCTGGCTGATGTGTCAGTGATAAAAGTGCCGCCGTGCTCTCAGTCTAACCCTTCCCCACACTCAGACTGATGTGGGGTCAGTTTTACAAAACTCTTTTTCGCAGTGTCGCCTGGTGATTCTGCCATTTGTTGAGTTGTGCGATATTAAAACCATTTTTTAAAACTATTTGGGAAACTAAAAAAAAACAAACTATATCCTTACGTTTTGATTTTGCACATGTTTCTACTTTTTTCATAAAACCACAGCATTTAAAGAGTTTATATCTTTTTAACACTGTGCAACGTTGCTGCCTAAACGTCAAATTTCTGTGTTGCCAGGTCTGAAACTTGTATGGTTCTATTTAAGTAATCTTCGCTATAGAGTTGTCTCGGATCTAGAATGATTAACGGAACTTAATAGAACTTTCTTCTCTAAAATAAAATAAAATGAAACGTTATATATGAACTACAACTGCATTTCACATGTAAGTCTGTGTCTGGTGTTTGTGTATATAGGTTTTAACTTTAATCTGTAGGGAATCGAGTTTTAAAATCCCACCATTTCTTAATGATTTTTCCACCTTTTAAAGATTGTTTAATTCTTATCTGATTTATGCATTTTTCCTTTCATATCCCAGCCTTAAACCACGTGTTAACACCATGCACTCTGTTTTTGTTTTGCAGGAAGTTTGGTGAGCGACCGCAGCCACAGCGCCTGACAAGGTAAGAGAGTACCAACACAGGAAGCCGTCTTTAGGTGCTTTGTATTTTTTTCTGTGTTAAAACTGTCCTCTTCCTTGCTGCAGGGAGGCTATGAGGAGTTATTTAAAGGAAAAGGACGATCAAACTGTGCTCATACTTCACGCAAAGGTCGCCCAAAAGTCATATGGCAACGAAAAAAGGTTCCTATCCAATTAAAACGACACTGTTTGGAGTTAATCAGTGTGTGTGTGTGTGTGTGAGACTGATTTACATCTCTGCTGCGTTTGTCCTCTAGGTTTTTCTGTCCTCCACCCTGTGTGTATTTGTTGGGCAGTGGTTGGCAAAAGAAGCTGGAGAAGATGGAGAAGGAGGGATGCACGGAGCAGGAAGCCCAGCCGTGTGCATTTATTGGAATTGGTAACAGTGAGCAGGAGATGCAGCAGCTCAATCTGGAGGGGAAGGTGTGTAAACGATGATAACATAAGGCACTGTTCACATCCCATGTAGTGTTGGCCTAATTCAGTTTCTAGAACATATCAACTTTTTTACAATGCATCAGAAAAGATAAACTACTTAATGCTCTAATACAGACATGGGCAAACTAAGGCCCGGGGGTTGGATGTGGCCCATTCAGCTTTTTAATCTGGTCCACCAAACTTTTCCAAATGATATAATTTATTTATATTATCATTATATTTCTGCCTTTTCCCTGCAATACCAATGTTTTCCCAATAGCTTGTGTAGAAAATGATAAAATCATTTTAGCATTTTTGCCTTTATGCACGTCATTTGTCTTAGATCACACAAACCACATCCCCACTGACATATTTGACTGGAGAAGAAAACAAAAAAAGAAAAGAAGACTCTTACCTGTGTTCCCCACATTTAGCACTTCTGCACCGCAAAGACGCTCTACATTAGTGACTCAGATAAGAGGAAACACTTCATGCTGTCTGTGAAGATGTTATATGGGAACTGTGCAAACATCGGCGTCTTCCTCAGCAAGAGGATCAAGGTCATCTCCAAGCCCTCGAAGAAGAAACAGTCCTTGAAAAATGCAGATTGTGAGTCGGCTTTTTGCTTCACATTTCTCTGTCTCTGTCTTCTCTCATTATATTACGTATATATATGTTTTTGATGAAAAAATAGATGCTCTTATTAGTCCTCTGACCTAAGCCACACTCTCTGTGTCCCTCCTCTCATCATCTCAGTGTGTATCGCATCAGGGACTAAGGTGGCGCTGTTTAACCGTTTGCGGTCCCAGACTGTGAGCACCAGGTATCTTCATGTGGAGGGTGGAAACTTTCATGCCAGCTCCCAGCAGTGGGGTGCCTTCTACATCCACCTCTGTGAGTTACACTCTTCACAATTTTTTAGCCTGAAATTGTTCTTACTGTTGTTGTACCACATGTCTGTTTTGTTATGCTGTTTCCTATGTTTTGTTTAGTGGACGAAGACGAGTCAGAAGGGGAGGAGTTTGCTGTGAGAGATGGCTACATCCACTATGGTCAGACAATCAAATTGGTCTGCTCTGTTACTGGCATGGCTCTGCCCAGACTAGTACGTACATCATTTTGTTTTTGACACAATGTTCTTATTTGTAATACTGGTCAAAGAACGCACTGAGTTTCAGCAAAAGAAAATCATAAAATCTCTTCCCGATGATTTTCAGTAAGAGACAGATCTGGATGGCAGGCCGACTACTAAGGCATTCAAGGGCTTTATCTGTCAATTCTTTTTGGAGGAAAATGTTTCGGCTAATTCCGCTATCTGTGTGTTTCATGAACACATCTCAACCCCTCAGGTCATCCGCAAAGTGGACAAGCAGACGGCATTAATGGACGCAGACGACCCAGTGTCCCAGCTTCACAAGTGTGCCTTCTACCTGAAGGACACGGACAGGATGTATCTCTGTCTCTCACAGGAAAGGATCATCCAGTTCCAGGTGGGCTGGTGCTTTTGTATGAAGCTTAAGTCTGTAGGACTGTAATATATGCATTTAGTACTGCTTTACTGGTGTTTGAAATAATACACATATCTGTAATATACAAATGTTTTCATTTCTGACCTGCACAAAAAATGTAATGATCTAAATATCTTTCAACCACAAAATAATGTATATACTCCCTAGCGCAGTACCTTCCTTGTTAAAACATGATTGAAAATAATTTTTACCTCTGTATGTGTCTCTCTAGAAAATAAAAATAGAGCACTGGCCTAGACTAAGAATAACTCATTATTCTCATTACTTGTTTATTGAAGTATTTGTTGGAAACAGCAGTATTGTCATGGCTAAATATAAAGTGGCAGGTGAATTGTACTTTCTTTGTTTTTTGTTTTTCTAGGCAACACCGTCCTCCAAAGAGTCCAACAAAGAGACCATTAATGACGGAGCTTCCTGGACTATTATTAGCACTGACAAGGCAGAGTACACCTTTTATGAGGGCATGGGCCCTGTCCCCACACCGGTCACACCCGTTCCTGTTGTAGAGAGTCTGCAGGTTTGTTTACTTTTTTGCTGAGATATTTTAGGGTTTGCTTAAAATATCCTCCTGCTTTTTTATTTTTATTTGTTTGGTCTGAAAGTAGGAATTTGAGCTTTCAAGAACAATAATGTAATTTGTGATTTCTTGATTATTTTTTAATTTTTTAAGTTGAACGGCGGAGGAGATGTAGCAATGTTAGAGCTGACAGGACAGAACTTCACCCCTAACCTCAGAGTGTGGTTTGGAGATGTTGAGGCTGACACCTTGTACAGGTAAATGTTCACATCATTTGTGAGTTCTCCTCAGTGTGATATGTCGGTACTAATACACAGATCCTGTATAATCTGTTTGTTTATAAGATGTGGGGAGAGCATCCTGTGTGTGGTACCAGACATCTCTGCCTTCAGGGAAGGCTGGCGCTGGGTGAGACAGCCGGTGCAGGTTCCTGTGGCACTGGTCCGCAACGACGGGATCATTTATGCCACCGCCCTGACCTTCACCTACACCCCTGAACCAGGGCCACGACCTCACTGCAGCACCACCGAGGCCATTCTGTGCTCACATAGCATATCTTCTTCATCACCGGCGTCTTCCGCTTCACCGTCATCCACGCTGGGTGGTCTAGGAGATGGCCAAAGATCCTACAGCATTAGTGACTCAGGAATATCATCAGGGGCATCAACGATGTCGGTGCTGTCATAGTTTGTTGTGCAGAACGTGTGGTGTTGATAATTGAGAAAATTATTTACAAAGACGCTCATGGACGTGTGAAGGAATGCACGGAAACGCAAATCAAATATTTGGAATCATGGCGATTGCTTGTGGGAGCTGGAAGAGAAAAATAACAAGTCAAAAGACTTATTTTGGCGAACTGACTCCTCTCTTTGGCTCCATCGTGTGGTTGCTTGTGGGACATGCCTTCAGCACTCGGTTCTCAAAAAAGACTAATTTACTGTCTGACAAAACAAGATGCTAAAAAAGTGGATGCGTCTAAGCTTTTTTATTTTCTTCCATTTTTCACTGCCACAGTCATGTTTTTACTAAAGGACTTCCGGAATGTTCCTGTTGTGTCCAAAGGAAAACTGATGTAATTAGAGTAGCATAGGTTTTACAGACCAAGACAATAATAATATTATATTATTTGAATCCTATTGTATTTTTTTAAGCTTTGATGGAGTTATACTATGACATTTCAAGGATACTTCATAGTACATTTACATTTATAACATTTTTTCTTTGCCATGTTTTTGCCTTTTACTTTGAGTTATGCCCTTAATAAAAAAGCTAATGGTGGAAATGGCATTTAGTCTCACATAGCCTAGCTTTCCCCCTAAAACATCAGCTGCTGTTTTTAAGTTGCGGATATTTTGTACTTGGTTATAATAATTGAATTTTTAAATTCTGAATTATCTCGAAAGTTCAAACGTGCAGATCCAGTATGATTTAATGGAGGCACTTAATTTATCTGGCAGCAGTTGCTCATCTTAACAGCTGGAGCTAGGTTACTAATTGGTCACAGCTGTTTCTTTAATCACAGGACTCAAGCTGAAATACAAAATAAATGTTTTGGTTTTTTAAAAGAATTTAAAGGTTTTGTTTTTACCTGAAGACTAAAGATTGTGTGATTTTGTGACCCTGTTGTTGCTATGGTTCCAGAGATTGTACTTCTGTGTTGGACAAGCTTTAAAGTTCTGCCATCAGCTGTGATGATGTTGTCAAAGGCAGCTTTTAGCAGTAAAACATGCTGAGTTGATCACAGACTCTTCTGCCTTTTTCGAGTGGTTTTTTTTAATCATCGATATTTAAAACACATTTGTGATGCCTTTTTCATCGTTGACCACTTCACCTGCTGTCTTAAAATAACTAACCAAGTGCCTTGATTTTTATTTTTGTATCACTCTACATGTATAGGAATGGACAGTAAAAAAATGTTTGGTCCAAGTTGAAAGTTTTTTTTAACCTGACATAAATCACTTACACTCTTCCATGTGTAAATACAAACCTAAATATTTTGCCCAAAGTTTCTTATTTTGTGTTAACCCACATGTCAATCACAGTCTCTGCTTGGTGGTCTTGGTTTAATTTACTATTTAATTATAATATAGTCAGTTGAATGAATACAGGTACAGTTCAGACTGTAAATATGTTAACTTATAAAGACAGTGTTTGTTAATTTAGTCTGGTTTTACAGAGAGTAGAGTTTTTATTGTGACTTGTACACACTTTAAAGTCTTTGCTTGTTTAAAGGAAGCTTTGTTACTACAACAGCATTCTGATTTTCTCACTGCCTTCTGTCAGTTAACACTCTACCAGCTCATCTGACTGTCAACATGGCCGTGGGTCTGGGTTTTAAAGAGGAAAACGACACATGGAATCTTATACTTTTATTTCACCCAATATTTAGATTGAGTGAGACTGTGTTAATTTTGAACAAATTAAACCCCAATATGACTTTTTTTTTACATCTGAATGTCAGGAATAAAGTTCAGCTGATTCTCACTTGTTCCTGTTTTTTATTTTATTTCTGTGAAGCTGAGGTTTATTTTGTTTGAAGTCACATTAATGTCTTGTCACAACAGTACAGTACATGCACATCATTTACAGACAGTATTTGTGATCAATTCTGGGAATGCATGCACTACATGGTGTATACTCAAAGGTCTGGTTAAAGCCTTATTGGACACTTGCCTCCTGGACATGCTCTGCAGGGCAGAGGTCAGATCTGCCACACTATTTTTAACTGCACTGTAACTGGACACTTTGTTGCTCTTTGTGTGTGTGTTTGTGTGTGTGTGCAGTTGTTTAGTCTGTATATGTGTCAGAGTCCTAATGTCTCTAGCGAAAAGTTTGCTTTGATCAGCCAGACCATGTGTTTGGACCCCCTGTTGTTTGTGCTGAAGAAATGTCTGTAATAGTTACAAACCGGCCTGATGGATGTTTACCCACGTGCTGTACACAACTTCCAGTCTGGTAGTCCTGATCTGGATGAGGAGTGTTATAAATTTCAAAATGTGTTCAATTGTTAAGACGCAATTCTAATGTGAACAGCTTTGAGAACTTGTACAGTATCACTATGTCTTTATGAAGTTTGAGGCAGTTTTAAAAAAAATCATTCCTCAAAAATGAACAGATCTGAGCAAACATTAGACGTTTGACCAAACTCAAATGGAAAGCTGGAAAACAATATCCATACAAAATATCCACAGTTCTTGATTTAGTTCCATCTGATTTGTTTCCTTTCCCTAAACTGAAAAAAGAAAATTGAATTTCAATCCTTAGACAAAGGAAAGGTCAGAAAAGACATTTCTAGGCTTTTACTGACATCATACTGTACAGTGAAATAGCCTTGTTTTTTCCCATAACATTTTAAACTTACTCTCACGCGAATTAGTAAAATAGCCCCTTTAGAATACAGTTCTCCAACAAACGTTCTAATCAAAACAAACCTGACGTCTGTGGGCCAGCGTTGAAGCAATAATTTGACCTCAATGTACATATTTAGCTCTGGTAGTGGGGTAGGACACAGTAAAGGGCTGAGGGGGAGACTGTGAGAAAAGGGTGAAGGCAGAGTGCACAGAGGGAGACAGAGTTCCGCCTAAGGTCGTCCTAACTCTACGTTGATGTGGGGAATGGGATGGTACGACCCAGAACACAGAACTGTTCCAGAAGGCCTGTGATTATCAGGCTTATAAGAGACCAACAGCTGACATGGAACACACTGACTGGACTCTAAGAATAGCAGAGATATATCCAGCGTTCACAGGATTATAAACGCATATATACGTATATATATAAGTATATGTTTTGACCTGACCTACAGGAGGACGTTGTCCCCTCTCAAAAGGTCTCTGCGTTTTTCTGTTTACTTAGTGACTCAATCTGCATCGTCACTTGTTTCACTACTAATTTGTGTGTTTCTTTTTTTTAAGTTCTACGCAGCTGTAGACGACTTCAAATCACACGAACGAACCTTGTAGAAACTTTTGCCCACTCTACATGTGCACGGTAGTCACAGGCTTGTCTAATTTCCCAAGTGAATCAACAGTATCAGTATCATATCTCGCGTCTTGGCTGTACCAGTAATAGAAACACATATCGCTTAACACTTTGCGCGGACTGACACTGGTGCCTCTCAACTGGGGATTTGGTGGCCTGGATATTTTTCTACATTTTTTGAGGACTCGATCAACTTTGGACGATATTGTCCGACGCCTGAAATGATACTTCTACCGCCTCTGCTGCTCATTGTTTTCCCCGCTGCGATTTTCGTCGCCGCGCATGGCGCCGGGGACCTGCAGGGATTTACTCTGTCCGGAGGGAGCGGAGGCTTCGGCTCAACAGGTATGTGCTGATGTGAATGACGAACCCGACACAGTCAAATACAAATTAAAAAAATAAATACATTCTACGTTTCTTCGAGGCCAAACCCCATGTTTAATTACATTTAAAGCAGCCCATTAATAAGAAATGCTTTAATTTTTATTAAAAACCCCAGCGTGAGAAAAATAATGTTTTTTATCATGATTTAAATAACGTTTTTTTAGCGATATGAAAACACTTTTTCTAAAGCTTATTTAACTTGACACGTTTTCAGTTTCAAATATGAGTGAAAGTTTAAGAAATTGTTTATTTCAAAGCTGAAATGAATGGTTTAATGAACTGTTTAAAAATAAGACTCATGCGGCTAAGCTAATGCTGTAGCATCTCTTCATTGGTATGATGTATTTCCTCGTTTGTGGATAGACAGGGAAACATTGACATACATTTTTTATGTCTATGTACATTAAAAAAACAAACAAACAACAACAACAATGAAACTGATACTTTGTTGGCATATAAAATATTTCTAGTGGAGAAAAAAAATTAAATGTAGGCCATGTATCCAGTACATAAGCAGGGTTCTAGGTTAGACACTTTAATACTCAACGGTATGTTTTTATTTGTACCTAAAGTCTAAATGTTGCTATAGAGATTCATGTTTTATTATCATCTTTTCAACTAAATCTTAGTCTTTCTTTGTATATCCAAGGTCGTCACACTTTATTAAAACCCCATGTTTTATAAGATGTTTTAAAAAAATATTGCAGTATTATTTATATTATATTTCTTCCATAAGTTAATGTCCTCCTGTTTTTGTGTCCTTCCTGTATTTCTTGCTACATTGTGAACTTCCAGCAGCTGGTGTTTATATGATGGCTACTAGCCGGTTTAACGGCTGACCTCTGACTCCAGGCTCCCTCAGTACCCTGCACAGCACTTAACTTTGTGGAGTCACAGAGACAAAAACGGGCAGTGACTCACTGGAATGACAGAAAGCCGTATGTCATCTTCCGGCCAATCCTAAATTGAACATTTTATTTTACTAGCCTGGAACACAATGCATATTTTAAAGCCGATGTACAACAGCTGTAAAATACAAGGAGCACTAGACATATGTTAAAAAGGTTTACTAGTCTACTGGTCCACATTAGTACTTCCAAGCAAATGCTGAATACAGTGGAAAGAATATAAATGTCCTGTTTGCAGAATAATTGTTTTTTGGGATGTTTTATTTTTAGAAAGGTTTAGACTGGCCATAACTTGTATGTTATTTTTTAAAACAACTACAAGTCCTACTGTTTAAAAAACAAACAAAACACAAACAATAGAAAAACCTGTTAATTGATGAATGAATGAAAAATACAAATTTTATATCTGAGACGGCTGATATGTTAAATTGTTAAATGTCATTGTCTTCCAGACCCTTGCTTTGGGATGTCTCCTCCATGTATGAGTGAAGCTGATCGTTACAGCCTAGAGGCTCTGCGGAGTATACACCATATGATGGATGATGACAAGGATGGAGGAATCGAGGTGGAGGAGAGCATGGAGGTACCAGTCACTCAAATTATAATTATTCAGCATGTTGAGACCCTGTTTACATTTTTGTCCCAACACTGGCATGTTCCAAATGCCAGTGTGCTTGTGGATGTATTTGCACACATGAGGCAGACCGTGGCAGTGCAACAACAGGTGCTGTGGTTGGTGAATAATCCGGTTCGACTTCAGTGGCATATATTATAACGCAATGACAAGTTTTGTTAAAAAATACTAAAACAATAGCAAACAATTCTTCAGATTAAAACCTTTTGTTTACAATTATTTTATTGAAGTCACAGTCATGGTTTTATTTAAGTGATTTCAAATGAAACCACTGCTTCCCATAGGAAAGCTGCATGCATATGCAACAAATTTGTGCACATCAGTTGTATTCAGTTTCAGTTTTTGAGAAAAAAAATTTGTAGTGCAGGAAGTTATTTTTTCCTTTGAGGTGAGTGACATTGGTAGTAAATTCAGAATTCTAAGATGCCTTGCCCAACCAGAATGCAGTGCACAGATACAGTATCCAAGGGCTCAGGTTGCCGTTGCCATAGAAATATCAAGGGGAAGGGTCTAGGATCATCAGCTCAGAGCCTCAGGATTCCTGCAGCCATCATATGAAGTCTCCGTTTACTGCCAAAGCACATTCCAAGACAGCACTATCACACACAAACCGCGTGCAGTACGATCCTCCTTATCGTTCTAATTTAATACACTCAGAATGAGACTCCAGTTTCTACTCCTTAGGTCAAATGAAAAGACATAATTGTCTTATTTTCAATAGCTAACCTTGCCTTTCAAAATCACATGTTTTCATTAATGTGCACCTACTTTGCAGTTCATCATCGAAGACATGAAGCAACATCAGACCAACAAACACAGCAACTTGCACAGAGAAGATCAACACATAACAGTTGAGGAGCTTTGGCGGGGATGGAAGTCATCTGAAGGTGTGTGACAATAAAAGGGAGGCATTGACGTGTGTGTGAACATCAGTGTGTCTGTGACGACAAGTTGAACTTGTTTTTGTTTCATTTTTGGCTCAACTTCATTTTCAGTACATAATTGGACACAGGAGGACGTGCTTCGCTGGCTGAAGGATTTTGTTGAGTTACCACAATATGAGAAAAACTTTAAAGAATTTAAGGTCAATGGAAACACACTCCCCAGGTATGAACGACGATAGTGTTATGTTCTGTGGTGTCAGAATTAGTTATTTGTAAAGTCACTTCTTGCTAAGAAAAGACTGTACTGTGTATAACTCTTACATCTGCCTACAGGATTGCAGCTAATGAGCCTTCGTTCTTGAGTGTCCATCTGAGAGTTCAAGACCAGAGAGACAAACAAAAACTAAACATTAAAGCTCTGGATGCGGTGTTGTTTGGACCTCCAACACGTAAGACAATATCTCACACTTTTAAAAGCATCCTTTTCTGTTGTGTTCACTCCAGTCTGCCTATTAAAATATTCAAGAGACAGAAGAAAAGATTTCAAAATAAATGTGGTTGTTACTAACATTTGTCTGACACACCATATAAAAAAGTTTTGTTTCATCTTTCACTATGTTTTTACTTGTTGAATAACAGTCATTTAATTCAGTGTTTCAGAAAGCGAAACGCAGACAAAGCTATTCCGGGGGGTGTCAGTTATTTCTTTTATTGTTTATTGATTTTACTTCCTTTGTTCGACGGCACTGTTGTCAAAACGGTGAAAAAGTTCAGTGGAGATTTGCTCAACAATAGTTCTATTTACAAAAAGGAGGCGCTGGACAGATAAGATTGGGAACCATTGTTAATGTTTAAAATAGAGATTATAATCTATATTTTGGACTAGAAGAATAATCAGAATAATTATAAAGCTAATCAAGCCACTCGTTTAACAAAACTAATGTTTTGTACTGAGCTTTCTAAGTGACACATCTTTTCTGAGAGTAACTGTATACGATGCTATACAATCATAATTTCTTCATCTTAACTTTCACATCAGAGAAGTGTGTTGAACATGTGTATGTGATTTGCGTAAGCATGCTTACTAGTTGTAATTTTTAATGTCATGTCATTTTATATAAGAATGCCTCTTGTTCAGTGATACTGTAGGAACAAAGATAGATCTGAGCACAGATCATACTGATGAGAGCTGATGTTACTGATGTTTCATCTTGGGCTTTCACTCACAGTTAACATAATTCAGTTTTGCATCTCAGTATATCATAGGTTTTTAAACCACATATTTATTCATATATTGTTTATTGTGTTGTTATGTTTCAAGCTTACTCCTGGTTGGACTTGTGAAAGTCTCACGGCACTACGATGCACCACTAATAACCTAATAATCGGTTCACTCCACCATAGGTCCTCCTCATAACTATATGAAGGACCTGCTGTTAATTGTGTCAGTGGTGATGGGAGTCGGGGGCTGTTGGTTTGCCCAGGCACAAAATAAAGCCAGTAAATTCCACATCACCAAGATGATGAAGGATTTGGAAAGTCTGCAGAGAGCTGAGCAGAGCCTCACAGATCTACAAGAACAGTGAGTATCTATTATTTCTACTGTCTGCTGTATTCAATTATTTGATTGACTATGTCATCATGAATTGGCCGAACAATGTTTCCATTTTTTTTCAGACTGGAACGAGCCCAGGAAGAGAAGCGTAATGTTGCTGAGGAGAAACAGAACTTGGAGGAGAAGATGAGGGATGAGATCATGGGAGCACAAGAGGAGGCTCATCGGCTGCATGAGCTAAGACAGGGGGCTGTCACTGAGCTTAGCCGCCTGCGATATGCAGAGGAAGAGCTGGAACAGGTAGATATTTCACTCATACACTCAGAGGCATGATTTCTACTGGAAACATGATAATGACTAGGCTAAACACTTGGCATCTGTTAAGGTCCGTGGAGCCTTGAAGCAGGCTGAGAAGGACATACAGGCCAGTTGGACTGCCTCAGAGGCTCTGCAGCAGTGGCTCCAGCTGACACATGAGGTGGAAGTCCAGTACTACAATGTCAAGAAACAGAGTGCAGTATTACAACTCACTACTGCCAAAGAAGAGGTAAAAGATCAGAAGAAAAGTGAAATGCACAGGATATATTTAATGTCAAGAAACAGCTTCAAATAAGAAAATTACTGAACTCATCATTTGTGCCTCCTGTCGATTAAGTCACAGTTTATGCTTGCAGGCAGAAAGGATTAAGAAGAAAAGAAGTTCTGTCCTGGGAACACTCCATGTTGCTCACAGCTCCTCTCTAGACCAGGTCGATCACAAGATCTTGGGAGCAAAGTAAGAGTTAAAAAAACTGCATGGTGTTTGTTTCTGTATATTTGAAATGGGTGGATTGGCAGTAGCTTTCTGTAGGTCACTAGCATTTTTGTCTGTCTCTAAGGAATGCCTTGTCAGAAGTGACAGCCTGCCTAAGGGAGCGTCTCCATCGGTGGCAGCAGATCGAGCGCCTCTGTGGATTCCCCATCATCAGGAATCCTGGATTGGGAAACCTCACTGCTCAGTTGTATTCTGACTCGATTGCCCTGGGTTTACCAAGGGTATCCCAGCAATCCTGTTCATGTCATAGCTCTGTTCATGGATCTTTAGAAGACCTGTTGGAGGAATCCACCCCTCAAATTTTACCACAGATGCAAGGTAAAGTTTGTCTATTTGCACCTGAATTAAAGATTCCCTTTCTGTTTCCTGATAATGAAGATTCCTGATAATAATTTATGCTCAATAAAAATGTACACAGTCAGATGTCAATATTATGAGTTTTTTAAATTGTTCTGACATCAAAAAATATATTATGTCACGGTAATGTCTTGATGTTCCGCAGCTATAGCGTTGCCATGCAAAAACCAACCAATCCATTATGATCGTGTTTAATGTAGTTAATTCTGGGGTTGTAAGGGTTGTTGTGAAAATTAAAAATATCTTGAGGATAGAAATACAGGGATATAAATGTATTTTTTTTAGTTCAAAGCTACTCTACTTCTAATATGTTTGTTGATTGCTACTTTGTTGGCCTCCTTTTAATGCCAGGTCCACCAATGAAACGCTCTCCTCGGACACAGGGATCCACCATATGTCGTTCTCGCCGACCTGGGGTCATAAATCAGCCTCAATCTACAATGATCTCTTCAGATCCAGATCTCCTAATTCCCATCCGAAGTCCATACCCTTGCTTTGAAGAAGAAGAAAGCTTCCTGTTGAAAACCCTTAAGAAGCAGTGAGTTTTAATATTCTCTTAAGTAGTTTAACACTATAAAATGTAATGGTTTTTAATCTCCTTTTCAACAACCTTCTTAATTCATCCCTTCCTGTGATTTTCCCACCACTAAAAGGGACTCCCAGGAGAAGTTCTCAGACACAGATTTTATGACTTCACCTTCTCTCAGCAAAATTTTCCCTAGTCCTACGATTGAGGCTTCCTCTCAAAAACTCTATCACGATGAGACAGAATTACTTTCAGACTCCTGTATCACAAAGACTTTGAGTAAAGAGGTAGAAGCTGTTCCTGTTCTAGTTCGTAAAGTTTCAAATGAGGATCTCGATGTTTGTGTGGAGGTGTCCTCCAGAAAGTTACCAAAGGACACATTTTCGGATACCTCTTTAGAAATGTATTCTGGAAAAATACCCAAAGAAGATTCCCCGATAGAAATGCCATCAAGAAAGACATCCCAAGACAGGATGGATCTTCCCACGGATGTTACAGTTAGAAGAGGACTTGTTGGTGAGACGGACGTAGAATTCCCCTCCAGGAAAGTAGAAAAAGATTCAGTGAGTGAATTGATGGACACTCCCAGGAATGTATACAGAGAAAGAAGTGATTTGCCAGTTGATAAAAGAAAGGTTCTTTGGAATGATTTGGATGCAACGGATAAACAGGTTACAAGGAACATATCCAGAGATATGTTGGGAACTTCATTTGACAGTACCACAAGAAAATTAAGAGATGAAGCTGAACACCTCTTTGATTCAGTATCAAGAAGATTTGCAAGAGACTCAATTTCCATAGAGATAGGTTCTAGGAAGCTCTCACGTAATAAAGGAGAACGTTCTCATGATTCCTCAGTTAGGGCCTTAGCAGCAGATAAATCGGTTGATGCTACAATAACACCAAGAAGGATCTCTAGAGATGAGATGGAGTACGGTACAGGCACTGGTTCCTTGAAGATTTTGCCCAGAGAGAAATTTGATAAACTTATGGATACGTCATCTTTCACAGAGAAACCAGAGTTTGTCTTAGAGCCACCAACAAGGAGGCTGCTGAGAAATGAATCTGACCCATCTGCTGGGTCTTTTAGAAGAACAACAAGGGTGTCAAGAGATGTGATGGACAGTTCTGAAGATATCACAGCTGCAAACATATGGGATAAGGGTGACATTCCAATGGAAATATCTAAGCAGTCAGCACTGAGAGAGTTGGACGCTTCTGAATTAGATTTGTCTCCAGATCAGTTTGGTCAGCCAGACCTCATGGTCACGTCACAGGTGCAGAGGACAACATCAGACCTGTACACTGTTGGTCCACTGAGCCAGTTGGTGTATGATGGAATACTGGAGAAGTCCTGCCATTCCGTGGCCAGCCTCTCTACGTCGACTACTTACCTATCTCAGAAGAGCCTGTTAGCAGATGTGGAGCCTCCTCTGCCAGCTCCACGAGTTGCTGTTCCATCCTCTACAGCTCCTTCTGACAGCAGAGAGGAAAAGAGCAAGGATAAGGAAAAGAGCAAGAAATCCATGAAGCTGAAAAGCATCTTCAAAAAGAAGCCAGAGTCAACTACAGAGAAACCTCAGAGTGGTCTTCACAAACTCTGACTATCAGCTGAGTATATTCACCCATTGAAAGGCATTTCAGTGAGACCCGACTGAGGGTAGCCAAACATAATTTTATATACATAGTAGCACTTTTAAAGAGAGTTTTTATTACAAATCAAATTTGTAGCCACAGAATATTTTGTCGTTCCAAATATTCTATTTGATTAGAATACAAACCACACAGTTACTGTCCTGAGACAAATAATAATATTATATTATATATTAATAACAATATTTACACTGGGAATTTAAGTCAACTGAATTTTGTCAGATAAGTGTGGGAGTGATTTGTTTTCATAGTCTTACTTTTATTTAAATATCTATTTTATTAAGTCTTAGTTTTATGTACTGTATGTTTCACATGTGGTGTTTTAGGTGCAGAATTTATGATGCGTTCCCCTCTGAAGGATTGACTAATGTTTCAGCACATACACCCTTTTTTATGAAACCATTAAGAAAGACACTTTTTGCAGCAGAAAGTAAAAATTTTTAGGTAATACCTTAAAAAAGGTTTTAACTCCTACTCTTGTTTACACCTGCCATTGAATATAAACAATTATAAGGATTTTAGGTCCAATATTTTTCAGCACCAGCAAGTCAAATATTGGCTTTTATTCAATCATTTTTGAGTTATCTTGAGTTTTCTTGATTATGTTTATTGCTTTTGTTTTTATCTAACATTTTAAGGAGCCTAGGTGAACATTTAAAAATAGTTTTTCATGTATATAGATATATGTATGTATACCTTTTTTCAATTCTCCCTCTGTGCTTTTATTTTGAAAATTGAATTTTTGGCACAGCAAACACTTTAGTGACAAAGCAGTTTTAGTCTGAGTACATCAAACAGAGTTATTTCAGCATGAACAAACATCTATCAGTTTATTAAGTCTAACAATAAGACAAGACCCCTTATTATTTTGAAACACAGCTAATCAGTGTTACAGGGTTTGTAGTTGATAATAAAGGTTTGATATACAAAAACATATCCTATAGAAATACAAAAAACTATTATTCCCTTGTTTTTAAAGCATCACTGGACTTTTTATAGTTCATGATTCTTCAGCAGGGATACTACTGTTATTACTGCTTTTTGTTTTATACCATTTATAATTGACAAGGACACCACCGAATATAAATATGTCATCAGTAGACACATTTGGTAGCAGAAATTCTGTGTATGTGAATCCAAATGAAGAAGAAGTCAGCGGAGCTTAGCCTAGCCTTGGAGATGACTAACAATTGTCAATAGTTTTCATCCAGAGATAAAATTTACAGATAATTTAAAGCTTCCTCTGTAGCAAGTTTTCATCCCTGTTTGCCACACACTCCTGCAGTCTCTACTGGGGTTTCTGTGATGATGTTCATTTATCATATTCGGCTGAAAATTACCTGTCACCTGAGTGTATTGGGGTTTTTTTCTGTGGAAAAAACATTGTCCAAGTTACCGCATTTGGTTTATATAAAATACCAATGTTGTAACAGTAACTTGATCATGATTCAAGTGCAAAATAAATTTACTTTGATAGTTGAAGCCCAATACTGAGGATTTGACTTTTAATTAGTTATGATCAATAGGTTTAAAGTATTTTAAACCTATACAAAATTTTCTAATTGCAAATATTTTAATTCATTTATTTAAATTATTATTATCTAAACACTATCAATAGCTAACTACTTGATTTTAAATGTGGTAAATTGTATTACCCTGAAATAGTTTTTAAAGATTGTATTTCTTTCACTAAATTTCTTGTTTTCTTTCAACTGTTGTCTCAGCATTTTAGAAGGCCTCTGTTGGGAGTTGGTTGCATGTAGTTCTGTTTTCGACTTTGTTGCTGGTAGCTGATAGCACTAGTGTTTACTTTTTGGTTAAAGACATTTTAAAGCAGGGAAAAAGTTGAAAATGGATAAGTATGTTCTTTAGACCCTTTACTGTGATGGAAAATTGAAATAACTTTGCTTTATAGTGGTTTTATTTAAAAAAAAAATCCAATATAATACATGTAGAACTCGATATATATATATATATATATACGATATATTTACAAGCGTTGTTTAAATATATACTTCTTATTTTTCTTAGATCTGTTTAAATGCACCATTTGTATTTATTTTACACATTGGAATATTTTTTGACCACCCTCTTCTGCTTAAACAGGTTAATACACTTTTTTTATTTATTTAGACATCAAATGTTCTTTTATTAATTAATTTATAAAATAATTAACCTCAAACTATTAAGTCAGTTAAATGAGGTAAATGCCTTCAATAAAGAATCTGATTCTGATATGCTCACCAGTCAATGACAAACACTGCCTAGCATTAAGTGGAGGACATGAGCCATACATGTGCATTTAGTGGTAAAGACATAGAAACATAAACAGAATATTTTAGCTTTTCTGAAGCAGATGTTTTATGTTGTAACACTAACTGCTTGCTGCTGTGATTCTTTTTTATTATTATTTTTATTTGCTATCTAGGCTTAAGCATGCTGTTAGCATTTGTACTCTTAAGAGTAGCTTCTTAGGAATAATAGAAAAAAAACACAGAAGCTGGTTTCTTTTTTGGACTGGTGCATTAAATGGTGCATAGACTTGTTTGAGTTGACATTTAATTATTTGTTAGCCTGTGCTTTAGTGTTTACAGTCATGGTCTGATGCTGATGATGACTGTTTCAGATCTAACAATTGAAATGTACCTTTTAATTAAAACACATTTTCATGTCTTATAATGGTTATAATGAACGAGTGTCAGATATCAGAAATGTCTTAAATGGAAAATGTTATGCTGCTGCATTTTGGTATGAAATTGTGAATAATTGACGTTACTTATTGATAAAATAATTTGTGATGATAAAACAATTAAAAAAAGGATTTTATAAAAGAAAACATTGTGTTTTTTTATCAACAACCTTGAAACTGTATACTGTATATTTAGCTTATACCATAATTGCAGCACATTTTGAGATAAAAAAATTATGTATTGTGGTTGAAGTTTTAGCTCTGCGCTGGTCTGTTGTGAAGACTTCAGTGTCATCCTTCGCTGTATGTTTCCTTCTGTCTGTGTGTGATTGATATCAGGTGTAGCTGATTGAATGGCGTGGTTTGTCAGAGGTTTCAGGTGGAGCTTTCTTACTGCTCCTCCTGAGATGGTTCAGCCAATAGGATCCTGCTGCTGCTGGCAGGGACCTGTCTGAACCAGTTTTTATTCAGACTGCAACAGTAATAACTCTTCTAGATGTATTAAGGAAATACTTTAACATCTTAAAAAAACTTGGTTGCTTCTTTGGAGTTTGAGGGGAACAGCATCTGGTCGAGACCACCCGGATGTAACAAGAGGCTTCATCTAGGAGATGGACATCTATGAGGTTTCTCTGATTATTTTTCATTGTATGTTGTTTGTTTGTTTTTTCTCAGTTTACAACTTTGTTGTTGTTGATCACTACTGGTCCCTAATGAATCCCTTTCTGTGACCTAAAGCTTGGCTAACTTTATATTTTGGTTGGTTGGGAGGTCTGGTTCAGTGGTATTTAAAGTGGCGGCTTCCAGGGAGTACACTGTCTCATATAAACTAGTGGAAGTAAATACTTTGTTAGTACTAGGTGTACTTGGTGACCTTAATGCAACATTTGCGTGGCTGCGTTGGCTTCTTCTGTAGATGATTTGTAGAACAGGTGTTGTTTCTGTCTGTTTGTGTGTTATATTTAAGGTGTGGCTGAGTGTGCATGTGTCCCTGGTGCTTTCCCAGGGTTCCTGTAAACTTCCTAGTCCTTAATAGTGATCCAACATTAGATGCTGATGTTGCAACCATGTTTGTTAAAAAAAGAAGGTTTTATTTAAATCTGTGATTTTGGGAGTAGATATTATTGAGCCCAGACCCTTCCAGTGGCAGATTCCTGCTACTGCACCACTCTAGCCCCATCCATAACAAAACCTAAAAGTGTACTGCAGTGTGAGGACAAATCTTCTGAAAGACAACAACCCTCTGGAAATGTAATGTAACATTCAGTTGAGACTGATATGATAAATAAAATTGTTAAGTTAAAATTTGTTGGTTCCCAGAAAGGGAAGTGACTGCAGTTGCAGTCTGTGGCTGATCATATCCCGACTCTACACACAGTTTGTTTGAACAAACTGCTCCAGTTCTGTCAGGTTTGATGGGAACATTCCCACAGCTGCAATTTACAGATATTTCCAAAGATAGAAACCTCAGCTGAATTGGAACATAAATGAACCAAGAACTGTTTATGCCACATCTATTTGTTTGCTTGCTTTAGATAAATGTTTTTTCTTGAAGGTTATGTTTTGCTGGCAAACATGCTCTTTGCTTTAAAACCCTTATTTTTCCTTTTCATATATACATTCAGTTTGACTCCATCTTTTATATCATTTAGATTTCATTTACCTCTGTGACATTTCACTGAATGTTTGTGTTTCAAATGAGGCTCTACATTCATCTAGGCTGCTTTCTTCATATTATTATTCACAGTGTAGACACTGCATTTATTCTCTGCTTTATCCTCCTGTACCTGATTTCACTGCCTTCTCTTTCATCAGTCAAGTCTATGTGATTGCTGAACCTTTGTTTTTTTTTTCTCTTGCAACCACTTACAGGGAGGTTAGGAAAGATAATCTTAAAGATCTTATTAAATATGTAAAGCCTTTGATGGAAAGGCCATAAAAACAAATGGTTTGTTAGTGAGACAAATGATGGAGAAATGATTGAAGGTGAACACAAGTCCAGGCACAAATAGGCTTAACATATTGATATGGAGCCAAGTGTTGAATGTTCTTTTTATAATTAGGGTTTGTATTGAGTTAAATTCTCATCATTGGCCAAGCAAGAGGTGATCAGATTAATACTAGCAGCATTTTCAACATAGAAACAATGCTATTGTCAAAGCAAAGACTCATTTGTAAAGTTTTACTATTTGTTTAAAAATAAACACAAAGATATAGTACACTGGACAACCTTACAAAAACACTCCCTGACCTCTCTCTGTATTCTTTTATGTATTTTATATATATATTTGCAACTGATCATGTGTATATATATTTAGCAGTGTAACCTTAATCCAGTAGGTGGCAGTAATGTAACGCACAAAATTTAGCCATACTGGTAAATCATGAACTAGGCCGAGGGTATTAGCAGATTTAGCTTAGCCTAGCCTTGGTAAAGACTAACTTGTACATCCATAAAATACAAATACATTTTTCCTGGTTGTTTTAATATAGGTGGAGAGAGAGAGATTTTGTATTTTACCTTTTTATTGATTTGTTGATATATACTATTTTTTAAATACTTTGTCCTATAACAATTGGACCTCAAGGTCAGAACCCTTGACCTTAATCATGGATTGTATTTCAATGCGTACTTTGCTCCCCCTGCAGGCCATGGAATATAACCTACATGGTTAATATACCATTAAAGCTGAACAAAAAGTCATACCAAAGTTAAATAAACTGTGTTTAGCTGCCCAGAGTAACGGCAGGGCCTGGGAGCTTCAGAGGAACTGTTGGATTAATTGACTAACACCGAACATGTGAGGCTCATTTTCTGCATGTTATCGGAGCTGCCAGCAGCTCTGTTCAGAGACGGTGGCGCAGGAAGTGAAATGAGGTCTTTTGAAGTTGTGATTCCGCCGCGTATCTGCGTTTATAATGCATGAACATCTGGAGCATGAACTCTGAAGAAGACATTAGCCTGGTGATAATGAGGCAACTGACACCTTAATATGCTGGAAACAAACACGTGGCTGTGGAAAGTTCCAGTTACATATTGAAGAGTTTGAAGCACTTGAATCAAAGGGGGTTTCTGTGCTGTGTACAGAGCCCTCGTAACAACAACTGAAATATGACTCGGGAGGTTTTTTTCCTCTTTATTTTCAGACTGGCGGTGGATAGATTGTTACAGTTGCCGTTAAGTTGGGATGATGTATAACGTTCTTCCATTATTTCACGCACTATATCTAAGCTATTAATAAATAGTCTCGCTCGTAGTGTTCAGGGGAGAGAGGCAATAAATGACACCGTCTTCCACCGATGCCAGGACCAGCCTGTCTTTGCTTTTTTTAGACTGATGTTTTTGTCATTTAACCACCAAGTTTTTCTTTAATAGCTTCCATTTTTCATATACCAACAGTGACTCTGTATTATTAAACCCTTTTTTAAACTCTGTACTTAACATAACACATTCTTATTATTACATTATTAATAACCATCTAGACTTATACTCAACTCACACTTGCTCTACTTGCTTCTCAAGCAGGCTTTGTTGCTACTCCTACACTGCATGACATGATTCTGTCACATCCAACTCTTCCAGTAGGTTTGTGTTTAAATTGTACCTGTCTTTTATCGTTCCTTGTCTCTTGTCTTCCACTATTTGCCCTCTGGTGTTTCCCCATCTGGTTGATTACCTCGTCCTCCCCTGATGTGTCTCACCCGTGAGCCCTGTCTCCTCACACCTGTGTGTATTTCAAAATCACGTTCTTAACAGGTTAAAAATGACTTTATTGATTTCCTGAGGAGAAAAATTATTTTGCAATACAAACAAACTCCAGCTGGAAATGAGAAAAGTTTCTAAGAAAGTTAGCATTAAATGCAATCAAATAATAGAACAATACACAAAAGCGGCCAAAACAGATTGATGACATAGTTGTTGGCGAATGAATTGAATGTGACACATGGAACAATAGCATCAATGACTATAAAAACAGTAGTAGCTAACATCAGTAGCAACAGACACCTAGTTTATTTCCATTAGTGAAACCAGATTATAAAACAAAGCTGACTGTTTCATATAAACATAAAAAAGATTAAAAAAAACCCCAATGAGATAAGAACATAATCTCACCATAAATGCACTAGAACTATCTAACAAATCCAACAACAAGGCTGTTCGAACTAACCTTCAAATCACCTGATCCTAAACACAACTAAATTGCTGTTTTAACACATAAAATCTTATTAACCAAAAAGAAAATGACCAACCCTTCAATGATGTTAAACTCATCACTTTTATTGCTCTTTACACTATTAAGGGAAAAAAAACTAAACAAAACTTCCTACTTCATTCCAGGCTGCAGTCCACCTTTTATTTATGATGTCATTTTGGGAGGTTATTTCCTCGTTTATTATTTCTGGACCATGGACTCTCACCTCTCTGGGGTCAATTACTATTTATTACCACTTTTAATTGTTAAAAATTAGATGGTGACTGTTACACCGTCGTGGAACACTGAGGGTCAGTCATCCCTGCCTTGAGGGCTTTAAAAGGCTTTAGACTACAGTTTGCAGTCATGTGAAATGTGCAGTGTCATCTGTAGGATGGCAACCAATAAGCAAGTGTGAGAAAGTCTTGTGGCCGTGTTAGTAAAAGGTTATCATGAAAAGCTCGTTATTATTTACGTGTCATGTATAGATTAGTCTGGATTGGTCCGTGGAAATATCCCTCTGTCACAGCCACAGTTATGAGCTCAGCCCCTGTTTATCTCAACTGCACCTTCAACACAGTTCATTTGTGAGAATTTTTCGGTTTTATTTATCGCTTGTACTTCACAGTATATATGATGTAGTAACCCTCGTAGTCGTAAAAAAAAAAAATCTCTCATTTAGTTTGTGTTCTACATTCTTTAATAAAAGCATATTTTTGAAGCCTTTTGAGCTATTACACGAAATGTCCACTAGAGGCCAGCAGAGTTTCACCTGGACCTGTGTTGTAAACTGGTAATAAATTACCGTCATCTGTTATAATCCAAAACACATCCATTCTGTTAACAGTAAAGTCGATAATATATTGATAGGATAAAAAAAAATCGAACCACTTCTACTACAATTTGTTGTGTTATTGTGAAAAACACAAGACTTTAGTACAAACAAGTCTCTTTATTATCATTTAACATTCCTCAATTGATGCACTCTACGTTGACTTTACAGGTGGAGAGCAAAACATATCCATATAATAATTCAAATCTGAAATATTGGAATTATGTTTGAAAAATTGCAAACAAATGATTTATGTTTCACAGGTGACATTTTCTGACATTTCTTTGCTGTGTAAGGTTAGCATAAAATAGTCTTTCTAAGAATTAAACGAACAACGGGGATCTTGAACTTGATCCACAAACGTTTCTGTAAAATGTGAAGATAAATCTCTCGCAAATCCCTCAGCACTACGGCTACTACTGTCTCCCAACACCTTCCCAAAGCTGGTTTCAACACAGCCTCCAGCAGTCTCCTCCTTTTTTTTATTATCTTTGGTCCATTTATTTCTATATCTTCTTTTCAGTTGAATAGCAAAAATTTCTAAAGTCATCTGCACAAGAACACTTTCACACCTAGTTTTTTTTTTTTTTACCAAAATCTCTCATTAAATGAGAAGAAATTTGTCCTGAGAGGTGTTGACCTAACTTTACCACTTCACTATTTGACTAAGTCTTCTCATGGTTCTGTTTCAGCTTGTTAGGAAATATGTATCATAGTCTCATAGCAACGCTGTGTTACTGTGGTTTTGTTAGATTTCACATGCATTCCTGAGAGAAAAATATTTTTTCCAGATTGTCAAAAGGTTCAATTCTCACAAACTGTCGCCTGACGTTGTGTTCAGGTGCGATGACTCACACCCTCTCTACATACAGCACTTCTCCAAACACTGGATTGTATAAATGCAGCATTCATCATTGGTGTGTGATTTGATCTTATGTGATAAACTGGGAATATTTTAGCGTGGAATGATGAAAAGACGGCACGTTCGCATACATCACGTTCACACGTGTGTTTTATGGCCTAAAATTGTGGATGAAAATAGCAGCTGTGATCCCTGAGTCGTCGTTGTCATTACTGTTAAGTGTTGAGAGCGGAACATTTGTCATCCTCCATTTCCTCACATTCTCACATTTGTTTTGTCCTGTGAACCTGTTTGAAATGTTGCAGATTTATCTTATTGTTCGCACTGGTGTGTTTTCTGAGGAAGAGCTGCTTCAACTGATAGAAGGAAATGTGATGATTAAAGGGTCACAGCAACTGATAGAAGGAAATGTGATGATTAACGGGCCACGGAGCTTGAAAACAGGTTCCAGGCTTCATTTGAACAGGCATCAGATTTTATAATTTTTTTTATACTGTTGTAACTTTTTGAAACTCCTGTCTCGTCTGTTTCTCTGTTCTTTGTGTGTCCTGAGGAGCTGAGACTCCTGACTGCCCCCTGTGGTTCTTTGTTCTTAGTTTCTCGGCCCAGTTCTGTTGCTTCTTCTTCCTGTTCCTGTTGTTGGACTTTGATTGATATAAAAGAACGGGAACTGATTTTCTTCATGGTTTCCCTGTTTTAGTTGACAGTGTTCTGTGTGTATTACTCCTCAGTTCTGTGTGTATTACTCCACAGTTCTGGGTGTATTATTCCACAGTTCTCTGTGTATTACTCCTCAGTTCTGTGTGTATTACTCCTCAGTTCTCTGTGTATTACTCCACAGTTCTGTGTGTATTACTCCACAGTTCTGTGTGTATTACTCCACAGTTCTGTGTGTATTACTCCACAGTTCTGTGTGTATTACTCCACAGTTCTGTGTGTATTACTCCACAGTTCTGTGTGTATTACTCCACAGTTCTCAGCGCTAATCCATTATTGATTGCACTTCAAATTTCTTCAATTAATTTCAGAGAATGCCTTCCTTTCTCCTTTGGTGGGACCAATCATTTCTCCAACATCAAACCCATTAATTGACCACACAAATGTAATCACATATAGTGGATGGGCTCAGATTATAAAGTATTACTGCACATCCCTGTGGCTGTTTGCCTCCACTGAGCTGTTCAAATATATGAGAAGGACGTTATATTTCAAGGATTATAGAAATACTATAGTTGCCTTAATTGTAAAAGTTTGAAAGTTAACAAACTTTCTAGTTGCTAGTTGTCTGATCTTTTTTTCTATTCATTTGTTTTAAACATATTAAAGTTTGGTTTGTAAAGAATA